AAAATGTTGATAAAATAATGGAAATCGTCGAGTCCGACCGTCATGTAAGCACCGTTTCGATTGCCAAGGAGCTAAACATTGCACAAAAAACCGTTTGAAAGCATTTAAATAAGGCTGGATTCAAAAAGAAGCTCGATGTGTGGGTGCCACACGAGTTAACGCAAAAAAACTTCATGGATGGAATTTCCATCTGCGAATCGCTGGTGAATCGCAACAAAATCGATCTATTTCTGAAGCGGATAGTTACTAGTGATAAAAAGTGGGTCAATTACGACAACGTCAAGCGAAAACGATCTTGGTCGAATCGCGATGAGCCGGCGCAAACGGTGGCCAAGCCAGGGTTAACAGTCAGGAAGATTTTGCTGTGTATTTGGTGGGATTGGCAGGGAATTATCTACTATGAGCTGCTCCCCTACGGCCAAACTCTTAATTCGGAACTGTACTGTCAACAATTGGACCGTCTGAAGGAAGTGATCGCCCAGAAGCGGCCAGCTTTGGCCAATAGGAGAGAAATTGTGTTCCATCAGGATAACGCCACACTCATCGATAGTGACTCGCCAGAAGTTCCGAGAGCTTGATTGGAAGGTTCTTTTACATTCACCTTATAGTCCGGACCTGGCACCAAGTGATTACCACCTGTCTATGACGAATTTTTTTGCTGGTGAAAAATTCGCTTCAAGAGAAACTTGTGAAAATCGACTTTCCCAGTTTTTTGCCAATAGGGACGAGGGTTTCTATGAGAGAGGCATAATGAAATTACCTTCGAAATGGCAACAAGTTATCGAACAAAACGGTGCATTTTTGACCTAAATCGAATCATTGTAACTACGTTAAATAAAGCCTCCAATTTGATACAAAAATAATGGATTACTTTTTACTAGACCTTATATATTGATCCATTTCTCTTGAAACAACCCCCAATTGAATTTAAATCTTCTTAGGCTCAAGAGTAAAATACCCTTTGCCACGTGCAGAATCAATCGCTATTCACATTCTTGCAACATTACAATTTGCAGCTAAAATGTAAAGTTTGAGGTTTGGTACTTTCAGCAAAAATTACCCCCGACTCCAATTAGGCTCAAGAGTAAAGTATCCTTTGCCACGAGCGGAATCAATCGCTACTCAATCCTTGTGGCATTATAATTTGTAGGCAAAGAGTGTTTTACTCTTGAGTCTAAGAATCGAGGGTAGTTTCCGCGGGAACGGGGGGGGGGGTAGAAAATCTCAAACTTGACATTTTTGTGGAACAAATTATAGTGCTGCAAGTGTGTGAATTATGATTCATTTTACTCACGGCAAAAGGTACTTTACTCTTGAGCCTAATATGGTTAAGTTGGGGATTGTTTCAACTGGCATGGATCAATATATTGAGTTTCTTTAGGTGGTAAAAATTAGTACAAATTCAATACTTCGTATTTCTATCGAACGTGAGCGTGGTATAGCAACAGCGCATTGGTCTGCAACATTGGAGGTTCCAAGTTCGATTCCTGGCAGAACTGGAAAAATTTATTCGCTCGAAATAAGTCTCCTCTGGACGGTCTGACAAGTCACCAGAGTATATCTTCTTAAAGAACCTTTCGCAAAATATACCGTTCGTAGTCGTTAAAATGTAGGTTTCATATGCCTCTATATAATCAGCAGCATGCGCATTACAAGCATATGAGTGAGAAGAAAGAGGCCTAAGGCCTAACGTAAGAAGAAAAAGATAAAGTGTTTCCATCTTTGTTCTCTTTTTCTTGTTCCTGTTAGCTTAATAATAATAGCTTAATAAGCAGCGCCACATTTTGTTCAAAACACGCCACAGGGTACAAAATTTTTATTGGTGGTACAAATTAGTGCAAAATATATAGGTATTAAATATTTGAAAAGGTCTGGTTGAATTCTGCTAATTTGATCCTACTAGTTTATAAGAGATGCATACTGCTCTGTATGTTGATGCAACATACTGTAAAAATATATATAAAAGGAGAGTTCTTTTTGCCATGAACGATAGCAACAAGTCGAATTTATCATTCGTTGAAATTTCACATTCTAAATTACTTCCAATCATCATATTCAGATGTTTAACACGTTGGGTACGTTGCTATATATAAAAATCCGAAATCCGTGACGGCATATTTTTTTTACGTTAATTAACTCAAATATATTTAAAAACAACATATATATGAGTTTTTTTTTAAATTTTTTAATTATGAAAAAAATGGTAGGTCGATCTTAAGCTCGCCATAGAGAGAGAACGCTCAGTTCTAAAGGTTGAATCCGCACCCAACGTGTTAAAGAAATTAAGACCAAAAATAATAATTTAATTAATGAAAAATAATAAATTGCTTTAATATCGATGGAACTATTTCTCAGTGCTACACTTTTAGTGATATTCCAAATCACACTAATTTTTGCATTTTTTAATATTATTTAGTTATTTAAATCATATTGATATCTACTTTTAAATTTTTCTGCCATTATCATTCGCAAAACGAACATTTTATTTTAAAAAGTATCTAAAATGATCTACAAGACCTTGATATCGTCGTTGCTCTATTCATTCATAAGAGCACAAGGGAAATGGAATACGATTGGTTTAAGATCTGAAAGTCGAAAAATTTGCAGAGACGAATATCTACAATGTAGAGCACACACACACATACACACACACGCACACACACAAAGAAACGGACAACTTTAAAAATCCATTTATTCCATCACTAGCAATAATGAACATGAACAAGGTTAGTGAATATGTGCGCTAACTTGTCTACAGCACTATTCCATTGAGTTTATGATGCAGCAATAGAACGTGCAGTGTGGAACAAACAATGTGTTTTAGAAATATAATTTCTTTAGTCATTAAATAAGTTCTTAAAATTGCCTGTTTCTTTAACCCTATAAACGTATTGATACATGTAAAATGAGTTCTCACCGTCATAAATGAGGGTAAAGATAAATTGAATTTATCGCACTTTGAAAGTTTGCATCCTAAATTACTACTCAATATTATCAACATAAATATACGTTTTACAGACGGTCCAAATTGATACCATTTTTCGTGGAAAGCTTCGTCCGTAATATTTAGACTCTAAATTAAACATAGAAATATAGTGAAATACATTATATTAGGTGGTAAACTTAGTTCCTGCGGCTCACAGTTAGATGACGTTAGTTGCAGGTGTAATTTATTTTGACATCTGAAACTAGCTGCATTTTAGAGGTTAGACATTTGTCAATAAAATTCAGTGCGAAGAGACTCATTTAAGCAAGCAGTTCTATTTTTTCTTTTGATTAAATATGGAACGCGATAAGTTGTTTTTTCGACATGTGCTGCTTCATTACTTTGACTTGAAAAAAACTGCAGCTGCAGCTCATAAATTGCTTTTCGAAGCTTATGGCAATTATGCTCCATCGGAAAGAACATGCCAAGTATGGTTTCAGCGATTTAAGATTGGTGATTTTGATGTCAATGATAAAGAACGCTCAATCCAACCGAAAAAGTTTGAAGACACCGATTTGCAGGCATTATTGGACGAAAACTCTACTCAAACGCTCCAAGAATTGTCTGCAGCATTAAATGTTACTCCGATGGCTGTTTCCAAACGTCTACATGCAATGGGAAAAATTCAAAAGGAGGGAAAATGGGTACCACACGAATTAACCGCAAATGCCATTGCGAATCGCTTAAACATCTCTATTTCTCTGCTCGCCAGGCAGAAAAAGAAGAGTTTTTTGTGGCGCATAGTGACTGGCGATGAAAAATGGATATACTTCGATAATCCTAAACGAAGAAAATCATGGGTAGACCCTGGCCAACCATCGACATCCACACCAAAGAGAAATATTCATGGCCACAAGCAATGCTTTGCATTTGGTGGGATATGCACGGCGTCGTTTATTATGAGCTATTGAGGCCGAACGAGAAGATCACGGGGGATCGATATCAATCACAATTAAACCGTCTGAATGAAGCATTGTTGGAAAAAAGGCCAGCAGTAGCCAACAATCGACGTAAAGTCATGCTTTTGCACGACAACGCTCGACCACACGTTGCCAAAGCCGTCAAAGAAACACTGATGCAGCTCGAGTGGGAAGTTCTCCCGCACCCAGCGTATTCACCAGACTTAGCTCCTTCGGACTATTACTTGTTCCGGTCGATGCAGCACGGCTTGATGGATACTCACTTCAGAAATTACGAGGATGTGCGAAAATGGATCGACGAATTGATTGCATCGAAAGACCAATCGTTCTATCGTCGCGGAATCTACGCGTTGCCCGAAAAATGGGAAAAATGTATAGCTAGCGACGGAAAATACTTTGATTAATGTATTTTTTGCTTTTGATGTCAAAATAAATGAGTTTTTTAAACAAAAAAACCGCAGGAACTAAGTTTACCACCTAATAATTATTTAAAATGATTAAAAGGAAAATATGGAAAATGTTCAGAGCAAGGAAAAACCTAGTAAATGAATACATAACAGTCAAGGTCCCCTCCAGAGGTATAAACACAGCATTTCAGAAAGCTCTACATCGCACAAACAGTTGGGGAAAACGAAAGCGAGGAGGGAATAGGTACAGAGTCGAGATCTACACTGAATATGAGTTTGGAGACGGTGAAAAGTTTTGTTCTAAGGTTGAAGAACAGAAAGGCGCCTAGCGCAGATGAGATAACCAACGAATTCATCAAGTATGGGAGGGAACTCCTACTCCAACAGATAACACTACTAGAGAAAATCTATAATACAGGAAGAATGCCGAAAGCCTGGAAATCCAACATCACCATCTCCATATTTAATAAAAGCAACAAGAAAATACCCCAAAACTACAGGGGAATAATACTGCTGAGTGCCATGTTAAAGCTCATGACCAGGATCATAACAGAGTACATCGGCAACCAAATCCTCATATCCGAAGAACAACAGAGCTTCAGAGGTAATAGATCTATCATACGCATTATTTATACTCCGACAAATCATCGAAAAAGCTATCGAATTCAACAAGTCGGCCTACCTATGCTTTGTTGACCTGACACAAGCATTTGATAGAATCCAACTAAAGGACGTACTGAACGTACTACGCGAGAACAGGGTGGATACGAAAGTAATAAAACTGATCAAAGAAATGAACACCGAGAACACTACTAAAATCAGAACGGACTGTGGAAGTCACTGAGGAGATTCCGATAGCGTCGAGGATTCGCCAAAGTGATAGCTTGTGTTCGATCCTGTTTAACTTGATAATGGATAACTTAATAAGAAGCGTGAAATGAACAGGTGAGGGATACTGGCTCGAAAACACGGAGGTAAAAATAGTATGCTACACCGACGACGCGGTGCTGCTATCAGAAGACGAAAACAACCTATAACGACTACTCAATAAACTGCATCAGGAAGCCGAGAATTACAATATATACTATATGAAAGTCTTAATACCAAAAACAAAATCAATGGTCATATTAAGGGAACCAATACTATGCAAATTAGTAATTAATAATCAGCTGATAGAACAAGTATCTTCTTAGAAGATCACAAGCTAACAAAGCATCACTTATATCAGGCCACTTCAGAGACATCATATGGAGGAACAAGTTTATATTGATAGAAAATAAAGTCAGGATATACAAGGCAAGTCAGGATATACAATGTGCCTGCTATTAACATACGCGGCAGAAACAAGGGCAGAAAACTCTAAAACTAAACAAATAGCGAGAATCACTGAGATGAGAACGTTAAGATCCATAATGGGGACAACCCTGAGGGACGGGGTGAGAAGCGCAGAGATTCGAGAGAGATACAGATTGTAGGATGTCGTGGATGAGAAGAAGGATGAGTCATAAATGGAACGCTCACGTAGATCGCATGGACCCACAAAGATTAGCGAAAATATTTAAAAACAAGATACTGCTGAACAGGAGACCGCTAGGACGACCACCGAAAAGATAAATGCAATCCTGGACTTCATCGTTCCAGGAAGGCCCCGGACAGTGACGTTGGATGGAACAGGGAATATCTCTAAACTAAGAAGAAGAAGTAAAGAAGAAAATGATCTTCTTTTCTTGATACATCGGGAAATTAACTAAAAATTAAAGCAATAACAATTGATGAAGATAATATTTTTTAAGGAAGTAAGACAATATTAAAACTTACTGCGTCCTGTAATTGTTGCACGTAAGAACATAACATATAAAATTCCACTATTGCGCCGCTTGAATATATGGCGACCAAGATCATTTCCACGAGAGTGGTCGATAGTACCTATAGAGTAAATATTTATTGATTGAACATATTATAATTGGAACAAGAAGTATTTATAGCATTCATATATATGAAAATTAACATATGGTTTCCATTAGATAACAATTGTTTTTCATGCGTACTTTTTGAGTAATTAGTAATTAGTATTACTTACTGAGTTAAACATAACAGCAGTGAAACAAAAACGTACCACACTATTTATATAAATCATATTAAGGCTCGAAGACAATAATTCTTTAAGTAAACCTGATAAACTGCAACAGAAGTTTAATATGCGCACATAAAATATAATAAGGTAATTTTCATTACAGAAATATATATATTATATTTAATTTAGAAACGTATAAATATAAAGTAAATTTTCAGTAAAAAGAAATTAATTTACTATAAACAAGAATACACATGACACTAGACACAAGAATACATAATATAAAAAATAAGGAAATAGTTCTTATATAAAAATAAATATTTTCTTCAAAAAGAGTGTGAGAAATCTTTATCTCGAAAGAGTGTATTGCTTGTCGGATCTTAATTGCGCTTTCGAATTATGAACTAATCTTTATAAAATGGTTAACTGTGAGCATATTCTCTCAGTTCTTAGTGTCAAATATTAATTGACATATTTAGCAAAAATTTTGCGTTTTCTCTCCCTCATAAAATATATATGAATATACATAAAAAATGAATAAACATAATAATTACCATATGACATTAATGTGATGCCGGCATAACGCTTTTATTTCATTCTCCGTCCAGTGATCTACTTCATAGTTAACTTTTCTGAAATTGCATTGCTTATCTGCATCTCGAAATATCGTGGTGAGTTTCGTGGCAATATAGCGATATTGCGCCGTTATCATCAGCACGAAGTGTATTATGTACATATCCAAACCACATTTCTTCAGAAAAATTTGGATGTTACCGACCATTATCAGAATACAACCCAGCACGAAAGTTCGGATCGAGAATGGTTGTTTAGTAAAAGCTATTGGCATCTTAAAATCCTCATAAATGAATGTATCTTTCTCGAAGACTGTCAGAAACTGTAGTGAAAAAAATGTCGTGACGCAAAGTGAACCCACCATGCAGTAATATCTCAGCGGAGTTTCAATGGGTTTGATGGTTTTTATTACGATGTCCTTCATGATCTCGTCGTCGATCTGCAGAATATCGTTTAGTTTTTGAATTAGTCGTTTCGCTAATTTTCCCTGTGTTTGAAGATGTCCAGCTATGAAGAATACTTCAATGACGAATACAAAGGTAAGCGTGCCCTCTTGAATAGCATGCTCCCACGATACCAGCGCAAAACCTGCCATTAATACGCTTACTTGTGCCACTTGAAGCAACCATGTCAAACCGCCGTACAATTTCCATGCGCTCGAGAATTGCGAATTGCACGGAGCTACAGGTAGCAAATTGCCGCTTACGTAATTTAATTGGACATTCAGAGGATTCACGTTTTGAAAGTCCATGTTCAGAATAACGTTTCCTATTGCATTTTATTTCGATTAATTAAGAAATTACGATTTTCCACCAAGATACTCACGTTTTTTTTTGACAGAATTCAGTGGGACATGCGAGCACTGTAAAATGATGTAATACGTTTTCACATTTGTTATAAAATTTTATTATCACCCCTCTTCATTTGAACAAAAGTATAAGCTTTTTCTATCTCGATATCAAATGCTGTTTGCAAGGAACTATGGCTAATTATTATTTTTCTCGGGTTGATGCATTTCTGTTTATAGTTAATATGTTATATCCTGTCAATCAATAAGCGAAGAATTTAGTTCCGTCCGATAGCAACTAAGAATACGAACGAAATGGAATATTTGAAATTTAATGTCGTTTTCACTACATGACTATAGAAATTTCTACGTGCCTTATTAGGTACGTAGAATTAATGAGATATAAATGAATAATTTCATAAGGAAATATTGCAGAGAACTTTCAACAAAGCAGCAATTTATAGAATAGCGGACTTACCTTTATCATTTTGTTTATCATCGGGTCAAGCAGCTTTAAGCTTCCTTGTCATTATTTTCATTCGATTAAGCGGCAATTATCTTATAGTTTCTCGCTAAACACTGGAGAGCAATAAAATTCGAAGATACAGTGAAACAGTTTAATGTTTGACATCACTGATATCATTCCATAGAGTGATCTCGTGAATGGACTACTGGCAGTATTTTTATACAGGCTAATCTTAAAGGTCTATCGTTATTTTTATTGACAAACTATGTTAATTTCGTTTTAACTATTGATAAACTATTTTTGGCATTATTAAAAAAAAAATTATAAGTTTATGATATATTACGCTAGCACAAATTTAATTAATACAATTAATTTGATATCGATAATTTTTTTAAAATTTTCATTAATGCTATATCTTTGTGGCATTTAAATTACGTTAACATTTGCATATGTAAGTATAAATGTCTAATAAAACTAAATTCTTATTTACTTATTAATTTACTGTCATAATCAGCTTGCAAAGCAAACTTAAATCACATAAGATCGCATTTAAGACATTTACACGATCGCATCTTCACGTTATATTCACTCAAAGGAACAGAAGAACGATCGTGTACGATTAAGATCTGAAAGACCGCAGAAAAATTTTTGGAGAATGACGTATATAATTACAGTGTTGCATTAACATACAAAGAATTTAAAGGCACGCTTGAGAAAGTGAGATCGCGCCATGCGAACTCGAGCCGGTCGCGATGTTATTTACTCGCGTTTACTCTCTTATTGTTACGCCCTTACAGTGGCAAGCCGGTATAGTACTTTGTATGTTGATGCTGCACCTGTATAAATTTATGTAAAATGAGCTTTTACCGTCGTAAACTATGGTAAAGACAGTTTGAATTTATTGTTCGTCCAAATTTTGCACTCTACATTACTTCCAATTATCATTAACATAAAAGTTTGTTTTGTGGACAGTCATATCGATATCATTTTTCATGAAACTCTTCGTCCGTCATGCCTCTGTTCTGAATCAAACGTAGGAAAATTATAAAGTATGTTACAATTATTAAGCAATTATTTTTCTAACAGGAAATGTTAAAAAACCTAAAATTTATTTCAAATTTATTTATATGAAAAATTGAAACAATCTCAGTAGTAGAAACAACTAGAGTTAATTTCATATACGTTCTTGAAAGATATATAATACGATTATGAAACCATAAATATATTTAATGAACATACGTAAAATCAACATGTGCTACTTAGGAATGCTGTCGTTTGAGAAAACTTATTGTGTCCTATAATTATTGCACGTAAGAGCACAAAATGTAAAACTGCACCATAAAATTACATGTAATCATGACAATCGATAAACTTTCTAAAAATGTCATCGATAGTACCTATAGATGCATAAGCAAAGATTTAACACTCATACGTATTATAATTAGGACAAACGAATATTTATGCAATCCATGTAATACAAGGGTGAATAAAAAATAAACCGGAATTATTTTTTTTGTTTAATTGAAGCATTAAAAAAAAATTAACATACATAACTACTTTTCTACATAATCTTCGGACTTCGAAACACATTTTTCCCAACGGATAACAAGTTTTTCAATTTTGCTATCATAAAATGAAGGCGGCTGTGACAGCAGCCAATTGTTCACGAAAGATTTGACAGAAGCATTGTTCTCAAATCTTTGTCCTCCAAGTGCTTCTTTTAGTGGTCCAAACAAATGATAATCGCAGGGCGATAAGTCCGGAGGGAGGTGTAGTAGGGAGGGTGTTCCAGTGTAGTCCAGACCAGTTCTTCAATTTTTTGACGAGTTAAGGCAGTTGTATGGGGCTGAGCATTGTCGTGAAGCAGGATAACGTCTCGGATTGGAAATCCGCGTCTTTTCCGACGATATTCGCGTTTTGCTTCGTCCAAAAGTTGGCAGTAGTATGCGGCGTTCACAATACGACGTTCGTGAAGAAAATCGACGTGCAAAATACCTTTAAAGTGAAAAAATACAGTTGCAAGAACTTTTTCAGCTGAGAGCCGAGTCTTAGCTTTGACGGGTGCAGATTCACTTTTCTTTTGTCATTCCATACTGGCTTCTTTGGATTCCGGGGTGTAGTGGTGTACCCAAGTTTCGTCGCAAGTCACAATTCGGTGCAAAAAAGCTTCCCCTTCGGCCTGATAGCGCGTCAATAGCCGTTCGCACACCTCCAAACGGTGCTGTTTCTGATTTTCTGGGAGAAGACGAGGGGCCCATCTGGCGGACACTTTTCAAAACCCAAGGTCGTCAGTAATGATTGCCTAAGCACTGCCGATGCTTATTCCGACCTCAGAAGCAATTTCAGCGACCGTTAATCGACGGTCACCCTCAATAAGACTGCCAACCAGGCGAAAATTCTCCTCTGTCACGCTAGTCCTCGGGCGACGTCGATGCCCCTCATTTTCAACAGTTTCTCGTCCTTCTAAAAATTGTTTGTGCCACTCGTACACTTGAGTCTTCTTAAGCGTATTGTCCCCGAACTGTGCTTCAAGCTTTCTCAATATGTCCGACGGTTTTACGCCTTCTGCAGTGAGAAATTTAATAATAATTCGTTGTGCAACGGACGGGGGTACCTCCCGCTCTGACATTGTGATACTGATTAACGGAGCGCTAATGAGAGGTCACGGGAATCTCCTTCAGGTATTCTTACCTATAACGCTTAGAAGCCTGGCCTCTCTCCGTTTACCTCACTGTGGGTATAAAAATAATTTCGGTTTATATTTGATTCTTCCTCGTACAATCCGCATGTAAAAAAATATACGGGGTGTTTCATTTTAAAGTTTTCACTAATTTATCTCTTTAGGAAAACATTTAAGATACAAATGTTTTGATCAAAAGTTAAGGTTTCAAGGGGGACATAAGATGATGAGATCGATTTAACCTTGGATTATCGATGTTGTTTGAAGATCACGTGAAAGTTACCTTCAATTTTTTTATGGAATTCCCTATTTTTCCATATTCTTGTAGCTTATCTCGAGAGCTCTCCAAAACACTATAAATAAATATTTTTTCATTAAGTACTTTTTGAGTTATAAGACTTGAAATTTATAGTACCTTCTGCATTAATATTACTTAAGATGTACTACGTGGAAGTAGATTTTGACCATTTGATTTGTACCAAAAATAAGGGTTTACATTATAAAAATTGATTTGATGATAGCAATTATGGTTTAAGATAAAATGAACTTGCGAAAAAAATTTTTAGCTTATTAATAAATGATGTGTCGATATGTTTTTGATGTTAAAATGATCTTGAAATTTAACCCCAAGATTAAGGACACCATTGAATACTCTTGAAATAGTCAGAACACGTGGAAAATTAAAATGAAACTTATTGTTTTAATTGTTTTTTATATTTTCACTTATTTTATTGTCAAGCTCTATAACTTAAAAAGTACATAAACAAAAATTTTTATTTTTAGTGCTTTGGAAAGCTCTCTTGATAAGCTATAAGAATATGAAATAAAAAATAGGAAATTCCATATAGGAAATTGAAGGTAACTTTCAAACAACAATCCGAGATCAAATTGTTCCGACCATCTTATGTCCTCCTTTAAACTATATAACTTATGTCCAAAAAATTTTTTTAAATGCTTTCCTAAAGAGATAATCTAGTAGAAACTCTAAAATGAGACACCCTGTACACACACACACACACACACACACACACAAAATAAAATAATATATATTTAAACGATGAGGTGACAGCTAATTGCTATTGTTAAACCTGAATTTTTCTCCCGTCTACGTGATATAAATTAGATAAAAATTATATTTTTTTAAAACGCAAGCACATAAAATAAGAAGAGAACTTAAGTGTTTCTCAAGTAAACAACCTAGAAGCATGTGTTCTCTCTCTTTTCCAAACATGGACAAATATAAGCCATGAGATATCTTCCCACTTATCTACCATAGTGTGATGCTGACACAACGCTTTTATTTCTTTCTTCACCCATCGATTTATTTCAGAATATCATTGTTTCAGTTCACTTGGCAGATTTGCATCTCGAAATGTCGCGGTGAACTTTTCGGCATTACAGCGATATTGCGCCGTTATCATCATCACAAGATATATCATATAAATATTTACGCCGCCTTTCTTCAGAAATATATGTTGCCGATCAGTATAAAGACGCTGCCCAGTACAAAGATCTCGATCGAAAATGGCTGCTGCTTGGAGAAGATCGCTGGTACTCTGTAATCCTTGTAACGAAAAGTTATCTTTTTGGAGACTAACAGAAACGGTATGCAGCTCCATAGTAAGACAGACAGATCTCCAGCCAACTAATAAAATTGGAGCGGAGCCTCAATGGGCTTGAGAGTCATCTTCACGATGTTCCTCATGTTATTGTTCTCGACGCGTGAGATGCCATTCAGTTCAGTTTCCGGATCAATTGATCCACTAGTTCCCTGTGGCCGTAAATTCGTCCGACCATGAAGAACATTTCGATGATGAC